GTATAATGACAACATTACTTGATTGGACGAAGAAGATAATAACCAAAATCTGGAAGAAACACCATCATGATTAGCACTGCATCCCAAGATTTGCAAAAATTGCACGTACCACAGCTATGCAATAAATCCCACCAGACTCTATAACCAAAAACAAAGCGCCATAGTATCGAGGCCCATTGACTATAACGTCGACACTAACACGCTTCATTTTCCTTCGGTGCAACCTAATTCATGAATTATCAGCCACAGCCAAACGTGAACACAACATTCCAGTCAAAATCTCACCATGTTTTGAGCGAAATCACTATAACAGCATAGAAATTTGTAAGGAAACTGAATCCACCGAATATTGAAAACCAGATTGTGGTGTTATTGCTGAAGTTCGGTTGGCCGGGTGGTGATAATGAGAATTGGTAAACCATGACACTTCCTGTGACTTAAAAAAAGTCGTCGTCGGATACAAGAGGGGAATACAATCACAAGAGAAGGGTGAAGCCATCAGCATCAGACCCTACAGGAAGATTTAAAAAAAGCTTACCAGTGCTACCGACCATGAGAAAACATGGAAAGTAGATCGCTCTCCAGTCGCGACCCCAGAGAATCCATGTCCTCCATGTCACTATCGAATCACCCAGAACGCACTGGACAAAAATCAAAATAAGATCAAACTCGAAAACAAAACTAACAAAGACTCATACATTGATAACTTCAAAGGCGACTTGACCAAAGTACAACGGGGATCCCTGGTCATCATACAGCGTTTCTCCACCATCTGCTGCCTTTTGCGTGAACAGCGCTACCAAGTTCATACGCACAGAGAGCGCAAGATGGACGGTGGATATGCAATACATGACCACAGTCAAAATCGTCATAATAGTATTCGTTATTCCTTTTGATTTCCGTCTGTGTCTTCGCCTGTCAAGTTTGTTCAGTCAGCAGCCGGATAACAACACTACTAGGAGTAATACGCACAAAAGGAGATACATTGCGCTGCAAAACAGAGTCGTATACATGCCTAGTAGGCCGCATCAGAATAGCAACAAGATACCATTAGTAAATAAACTCACCATGGAATATTCCCTCGCAGAAAACCGACAGGAAATAAGATTTAGGAAGAGACAACCCAGTCTGATCTGTCATACTGAACAATGCCAGTGCGTATCTGCGCTGTGCACTAGAAGACACAGAAACAGCGAAAACTCGTATGGGGGAGGGGGACTGAGCGCCCACTGTAGGGCGGGGATGTACTTTTATGTATCGGTCAGCCACAAGAGATAATCTTAGCCATGAGTGGGATCCGGATGCTTTAGTAGATAGAAGAGCGAGCCAAACCCCAAAATTGGAAGTGATTGTGAATAAAGTGCCCTTTCATGACATCGCGCACGATGAATCATGATTCATTCAGGCAACTACTTGGGTCGAAGTATATACTAAGTGTGGCAGTGAAAATTTAACGACCGGGAAAACGAAGCAGAGGAGGGAGCGAAATCAGGTAGACGCCCACTTCATGCTAAATTAGTCCGTGGAAATCGATGCGGTGCCATTCTTGAGTCTGGGTGCGTATTTCAGGCTAATTCTCGAGGGCAGTTCCGGTGTCTAACTTTCAGAGCTTAAAAAGAAAGCTCAAATGGTGCATAGTACGCGGACAGTGCCACTACCGAAGATATACTAATCCGGGTCGTGGAGAGGATGAAAATCGATACAAAAAAACAACATCCAGATCGTTCCATTTGCGCGAAGAACTGAAGCCTGATTAGAACGACTCATCAGACTGAGAAAAATCAGACGCACAAATACATTGGGAGTGGGTACTGGGGTAAAAGAATGAATGATTAGATAAGCAATGATTAGGTTGACCTTGGGAAACACACTGTAAACACAGAACTGACGTTCTACTTGTTCTTCCAGGGTTCCAGGAGGTTCTTTTCTTGTTCCGTCTTCTGATTTTCACCCAACTCCGAGGCACGCTGAAGAATTGAAATATTCAATCTCCGAGTCGATCAATTGGTGTATACACATCATACTCTGTCATTGTGGCTCACAATGTTTATTAGGGGGGGGGGCGCTAGAATGCATATCAGAGCCTCTGACTGAGAGCATATGTCTGCAACTTGATGGGTGAAAATCGTGAAATCGTCGATATCCCCAAGTTGTATGAATTCTCAAGGTGAACTTAATCTACATAGTGGGTACTGTAGATCCTACCAGCCATCTACCTATCGACGACTCGGATGTCAACCTTTTCTGATTCTGACTTTCCCTCCTCAGGCTAGCTCGGGCTCCACTGGCAGTGCTCTCAAAGCTTAATACATCTTCGATTGAAACCCGAATACCCCCCATCGAACCGCGCTTATCTCCCGGCGAAGTTCATCTGTCGCCGTTCTCGCGTCGACCCACTGTGACACAAACCAGCCCAATCATTAAAGAGACCTTGCGGATCCATAATTTTGTACGTCCAATAAAATAAAATCACCATCATCAGATGACAAAAGGAGTGAGTCCACTTTGACCAAAACCTCGTTTATCTAGAACCGAATATTCATGGGAGTCATATCTCCCTTCACTACTGTGCCCATGGGGAGGTGCGTATCAAGTACCACAGTAGTAAATACGACCTTTACCTTTCCTCTTCAGGCTTTTATGATCTTCAGAATACCTCAACCAATCTTAAAAACCCCAGTAAACTCCCTCCCCGCTCAAGCGTTCATCGTCCCTCCAACCCGGCAGCGTCAAAAACAAAACCCCCCCAATCCTTTGTTTCATTACAATCAAACCAACAGATCTCATCCCAAGCCGCCGTCCACCAGGGCCCTTTAATCAGCGCTAAACGCCTTGAAACAGATATACATGCTACACAATTTGAACCATTCCGATACTCCCAGGACGCTAACTTGAAGTATAACAACCTCAACAAAACAGCTGTCATTTCGGGTTCCTATTCGTCCTTGCGCTCCGCCGACCTCCGTACACACACACACAGGCAAAAACCTCGCGGATTTACATTTTGCGCTTCCAAAAACGAACTTGAAATTATCGTGACGTATATGCTCGCCTCAGGACAGAAGAGGAGTGACTCGTTCACTTTAACCAAAAAACTCATTTACATATCTCAGATAGATATGTAAATGAGTTTTTTGGAGGCTGGGACGAATGGTATCTGGGTCCCTGGGAGGATAAGCCATCTCATTACTTCGAGACACGAATAATGCGCATCTGGACATTCGTACTATGTATGCTCGGAAAGAGAAACTTGGTCTGATCAATGTCTGGTCTGAGAAGGGGGAGGCTTGTATTAGATTCCTCTGTACATAATAAATACATAGATACATACCAACCACTATATATCCATGAATACTTTTTCACCTACCATCCACTCGCGCTACACACTCAACTTTGAGCTTACGAACCCTTCAGCTGAAGAGTTCACATCCCCATCCACCCCTTCCACCTCGGCATCCCCACACTTTCTCTAATATTCGCTATACCTGGCGTAGCCATCCCCTCATTAATATTACTCTCCCCACCTCTTACCCCTACCCCACCTACCCCCAACCACAAAATCAACCTCTCGAACCCCATCCCGAAACCACCATGGGGGACCGAGCCGTGGCGGCGAAGATCGAGGTACCATTCGTAGGGGTTTAGTGGTTTTTTAGGGGAGTGTGGGGAGGAGGAGTCGATGATTTCAGTTTCGGGGGGAGAAGGAATCAACCCAGCATCGACCATACTCGACCTCAACACCCCATACCTCTCTTCTCTGACACTCCCCCCCACGAGTTCCCCCACCCTCGGAACGAGTAAATCAAAACACGCCACCGTTTCCATATCCGTCCTCGGATTGACCCTCATATAAAACGGTTTCACACCGCGTGGATAATCCATAACAAACACCGGGGACTTGAAGTGCACCTCTGCGAGATATTTCTCGTGTTCTGATTGAAGAGAATGACCGAGAGTTGGGGGGTAAGTGAAGAGTGGTTGAGCTTGTTGTAGGATATGTATAGCCTCGATATAAGTAATCCTAGGCCAAGGTTTCTGGCTGAACGCTGCCCGATGAAGCTCGTTATCCGCATCAGGAGGTGATACGGACAAACCTGAATGAAGAAAACGCGCAATAGTGTACCGAAGCATGTCTTCCACAAAAGTACACAGACCGTGCAAGTCGCATGAAGGGGACTCCCCACCCCATTCACATTCCAACATCCAAAACTCTGCCAAATGCCTCCCTGTCATACTCCTCTCAGCTCTAAAACACGGAGCGAGAGTGTATACCCTGCCCAGCGCGGCCTGGAACGCTTCAAGATGAAGCTGGGACGACACAGTCAGATGAGCTGGTCGTCCAAAAAACTCTTCCCCTTCCTCCCCCTTCCCAACCCTAAAACTCTCCCCGCCACCCTCGGCATCAATCCCGGTAATGACCGGCGTATGCACATACACAAACTCCTGTTCCCCAGTCAAATACCCCTCCAACGCTTCTTTGACTTTGGCGCGTAGACGCATCGTATGCTGGATACCGGGCGTTCGGAGACGGAGGTGTAGATGTTCGCGGAGATATTCGGCGGAATGCTTCCCAGAGGACGACGAGGACGCGCCAGAATGATGCGGCTGCAAAGGATACGTATCCGGATCACACCTCCCTACCACCTCCACCCCATCCAAACCCTCCACAACCAACTCCACATCCTGCCCCGGCCCCGTACTTTCCACCAACCTCCCACTCACAATCACCCCAGCTCCAAACGTCAACTGTCTCAGTTTCTCCACCATAGCCGTACTCGTTCCTTCGCCTCGAACCCCATGTTTGAAAACTGCCTGCAGCCCCTTCGACGTACTCCCATCTTCGATCAACGCGAACGTGCACCGTTTTTGCCGGCGAATCGACCGGACGTGGCCAGTTATCGAGGTTAGTGCGGCGGCGGAGGAAGAACCTGGCTCCAACAACTGCTTTATCGTCTTTGGCAACCTACGCACTACCATATTTCTAGAATCAGAGGTCAAAAAGGGCTAACCAGGACTCGAACCTGGGTCACGGGAACACCAATCAAATTCCGATATCAGAATCCCGTGTGATAACCTCTACACTATTAGACCATTCTCCTTTAGGTTTATTAGAATAATATGAAGAAATTAGATCCATGCTTTGCTCTGGAATTGTAATCCTTAAATAATTTACAGAGAGTGTTAACATTTGATCACTCACATACCATCTATGGAACATCATTCTTATTACAATCACTTCTTTTCATCATATCTTTTCCTTATCATATCTTTTATCTCCCTTATCTCATATCTTGTCTTAACTACACAACGTTACTACAGAGCCCTGGAACCATGTACATGCACCCATCATTCTGTCCTCATGTACTTGGAAACCCCATTAAGTGCCCGTTTCATACTATGTCCCTTTGTTAACTTCCCTATACATATTTAAGCAGTCCTGTAGCGTCCAGAAGCCCAGCTTGGTATATTGTGAACACACACCCTTTACATAGGTCCAGTCCCTGTCTGTTTCTCTACTCTTGTCTTTTGTCTCCTACGATTGTCTAAACGATTCAATACACACTTTTACCTCATGTCTAAGCAACCCAAGTGAGTCTCCGAGCTCTCCCAACCAATACTAAAGCTCCCCAATGCCTATCGCTTTGGTAAGCCAACCTCCCCCAAACCTCCTCAAGCTTCCCAGGTGCTCCACAAGCTCAGGGACCTTGATCTAAGTAACGTTGAAGCTATCCCCTACGTTGAACTACATACCACTTCTCCGTTACTTCCTCCAATGCTCGAGGACGCCCACTGCTACCTCCACTTCCTGGGACCTCCCTCCTGGGCTTACACTCCATTGGGAGCTCATCCATTCAAGACCTTACATCAGCTACAATCTATAACGATCTTGCATTGACGTTCCTGTCTACTACAACCCATAGTATACAACATCCCGATGATCCCCATATTCTGGTTACCTGTAACCCACCTGTTAAATGTCCTAGGGACCTCCCAGAACCTATTAGGAACCCTCTTCAGTGGGCTGCAATCTCTGAGTGAATAACACAAAGAAGAATAGGCTCCATACCAGCATCCTTGCAAGCCCTGTTAAAGACTGCAGCACTGACAAGTGCAATGTCGACTTCTGGAGTTTCCAGTTGAGCAGCAAATTCAGAGACCGTAGGATAAGAGTAGATGGGTTCAAAGGGAAATTTGGACAAGAGGGGCTTGGCCCGTGTCGACCGAGAGCAGGAGCGAAGTGAATCCCTAGGAGGGGTTTTCAGAATTGTCAGTAAAACCAACGGCAAAGGTTCCGGTATTGGAACAGTGACCTTTGCATCAACAAGGTTGATGGCAGAAGGCACAGACATCTGTGGAGAATCAAAGTGTGAAGTGTTACGGAACGTAATGTTTCGAGATGCCCAGTCAATCAACGGATTGTAGCGGGATAAGAAACTGTAACCTAATACTGCTTTACAAGATGAATCCAAATGAGTAACATAAAAGAGCAATAGAAGCAGCTCGCCAGAAGGGAACCGAACGGCAATATTCACCATATCGGTAATGGGTTTAGAAGATAATGAACCATCAAAAAGACGAAGATTAACAGGAGAAATCTTGGTAGTTGGAATAGAATTTTGAGAGACATAACGAGTATTGATAAAAGAGTCAGTAGAACCAGAATCAACAAGAGTAGGAAATCTAAGAAAAAAAGAGATAGGTTCGGCTGGTGTTAAGATCATGCACACCGTGTAACCGTGCCAGAGGTCACAGAGTGTCTAAGTGCGGAAGATGAATGGGACAGTAGTGAAGTTATTAACAACACCGCTGTTACGCCGTTAGTCCCCGGAGATCAGGAGTATAGGAGGGAGGAGCTAAGTAGCAGCCAAGTCGGAGCGGCGGTATTGCCGGTGACGAGGAGCAAGCCAAAGAACTTATAAGTCCAAAGGCTATAGAGAGAGTACTTCAAGGCAATGAGCCTGAAGACTTAGAGGAGCACAGAGTGAAGGAGGGAATCTAAGTCAATCTAAGTTGATCTAAGTCGATAATTAAACTGAGGAACTACAGTAGCGTACAAGCAGTATTTATATCTACGGAGCGGCGCAGTGGTGCGGAGCGCCAGACTAGCTACTAGGAGTTATACGTGTAGTCCTGCAGGGTAAAGTAAAAGACAATAAGGAGGGACTAGAATGAATGGGTATGTGTAGCGAGAAAGAACAATAAGGAGAGATTACAATAAAAGGCAGATCTTTGGAATACCGAGCGGCGAAGTGGAGGCCCGAGGCATGGACTTGACAGTATCCCCCTCTTAGGCTTGAGCCCTCGAAAGCCATTAATGCCGGGAGTTGATTAGTCACCAAAAGAAAATTTTAAAGACGTCAGTATCGGGAATTTTCGTTAGTCATCAATGAAAATTTTTGGTTCACCGTAAACCAAACACAATTCGAAGGAAAATTTTCGCTGGTCCGTGTGCCATTTTGTCCCTATAAAAAGGACCAGGTTTTTTCCGTTGAGGGCCTAACTTCCCAAAATCCCTAAGTCCACCAGGATGTCGACAAGCCGCACTACAACCACCACTACCAACTCATCCTCTACCGCCGGCCCTTCGGGACCTCGTCAACCGCCAATCCTGCCCCCTTTGATGGTGGAGACCTGGAAGAGGACGAGGAAGAAATCCTGAGGAGGGCGCAGGAGAAAGTTCAACGGATGAAGGAAAGAAAAGCAGTGGCGGCAGCGGAGGCGCGTCAAAAGGCCGAAGAAGAGGCGGCCAGGAAATTAGCTGAGGAGGAAAAGGTACAAGCCCTGGCGAGGGAGGAGCGTAGACGAAGAATGGCAGAAGCGGCTACCGCCCGCAGTCGGTGTGGTACCTCTCCGGGAGAGGTTTCAGAATCTCCACATCGGCCGGTGGTGGAGATCAGGAGGGTTAAGGGAAAAGGAAAGGAAAGGGTTCGGGACGAGGTACATATGAGGGTTATTTTCTCCCTAGCACTTGCTGATCTTTCCCTTGTACAGGCGGCCGGCGGTGACCCCGACGACGGTGATGATGGAGAGGACGACGACGACGATGATAGAGCTCCCTGTGAACGATGCAGGGTCAAGAAGATCTCTTGCCAGATGCAGGCTGGCAAGAGGAGCTCTATTATTTGCAAACCCTGTCACGGCGCGAAGGTGAAATGTTCCTACTCCGGGCGCCTGTCGATTGCAAAAAAGGAGGTCAGCGCCAACCCGACCGGCGAACGGTTGGCCGTACTGGAGAGCCAGGTGGCACAATTGCTCGCCGACAACCGACAGCTATGTGATGGACAGGTTAAGGCGAATACCTACCATCGTCACTTCAACCAGAAGCTCGACTGGCTGATAACAGATGCCGCGAGAAGGAGGAGGACACCTCCTGAACTGCTGGAGGCCGGGCCGTCAGGGATATCGAAGAAAAGACGGCGAGTAGTAGACAGTGACGAGGAAGAGGAGCGGGAAATTAAAGGGGAGATGGAGAAGGAAGGAGACAAACTGGAGGATGAAGGAGGAGAGGAGGGAGACGAACCGGCGTCGAAGAAGGCCCGGTCGGAGAAAGGGAAGGAGAGGGAGGAGTAGAGTAACGGACATCGGACATCGGCCCCTCGGCCCTTTCTTGTAGTTTTGTAGTCTTTTTTGTAGCCTTCTGCCCCCCTCGACATATTTTCTTGGCTTTTGTATATATATAAACAATGTTATTGCGAATTTGAAATCGGAAAGGCAAATGGGCCGCGAAGCGGCGTAAGAAATAATTAGTTTGAAGTATAAGTAGCTTAGGTGTGTTTTAAAGAATAAGTAGAACGGTAGCTACAGAAAGCAAATAAGTAAATAAGAGAGAGGAGTAAACACTCAATTTGCTATCATCGTGTTTACCCTCTAAACACACAAAGTAGAACTTCGGCGGAGCATGGCGAAAACGGGGAAAAGGAATAAAATGTTTTTTGTGATCAAGGTCCAGGTTTGTGAGGATATCGGGCGTGGAATGCCAGTACAAGCTCATCAGCATGTAGTTCGTCAGCAGCAACCCAGGAGAATTCATCGTCGGTACCTTCGTAACCGGCCCACTGAATGTAATAACGTAGAGGACCACGCTTATATCTTCTGTCCAACTTGGAGTCAAGGATTTTGGCAACGTTGTACTCCTCTTCACCATCAACTTCAATTGGAGGTGGAGGAGATTGAGTTTGATTCGGGAATGGGTTCGGCGTAACCAGCTCCAGCTGAGAGACATGGAAAACCGGGTGAATGCGGCGAAGATAGTCCGGGAGCTTGAGTTCGTAAGACAAAGTACCAGGTCGACTGATGACCTTGAAAGGACCAAGATATTTTTCTGAGAATTTTTCAGTATGACGGGTAGAACGAATGTGCTTAGCAACATGGAGATGGAATCCCATGGCCGGACCGGGACCGGCAGAGGCTTCAACAACCCGTAAGGCTGATGACGGCGTGGTTTGTTGTGCCCACAGATAGTGCAGGAGGTAATGTAGTCACGAACAAAGTCTCTGACCTTGGGCCAAGTGTATTGACGATGTACAGCTTCTAGAGTGCGGTTCTGGCCGAAATGGCCGGAGAGTGGATGATCATGGAAATAACGAAGGACTTGAAGGCAAAGATTGCCGTGATTTGGAACATAAATACGGTCGTCAAGGTGTAGTAGCTTGTCACTACCTAAGCTCCAACGTTCATTGGAAGGATCTCTAGCAAGTTCCAAACCAACAATGGAGCTCGGGTCGGCGGGAAGGGCGAGGATGATAGCCTGGTGTAGGGCTTCGATATCCATAATAATCGAGGCTCGTAAAACCGGGCCTTCCAGGAAGGTAGCTCGAAGAGACGCAGTGAGTTGTTCATTAGTAAATATAGGACGGAAGTTATGAGGGTTCACTTGGGCGTAGCCAATATCCCCCTCTTTAGGGTAGACGTCCCAGCGTCTATTTATCGAATCAGGTTTCTTGCCAAGTTTTCCCGGTCGGAAGCGAATGACCATATTAAATTGATGCAAAAATTCAGACCATCGGACCTGTTGGCCGTGTGAGAACCTTGGTAGTAGAAAAATACTTAAGATTCTTGTGATTGGTGACGACGTCCACCAGATCACCCGA